ATTTGAAGAGCTCGGCAGGGAGGAGACCCAGGGGCTGTGGTTACACCTTGCCACTGCTTGCTCTCCCAGTCATTGTCTCCTTATCTCCTTATTGGCCAAGCCTGGCTGGCGATGAAAGAGACATGACAGCATGGTGGGCCTTCGTACACAGGCCCCACGCCTGCCTGGCTCCACGGGAAGCCAGATTCCACAGTCTGCTGCAAACAACCAGGATGACATCAAGCGGGAGGTGAAAAAACAAAACCAACAGAAGTTGTTTACTAAAGACACACAAGACAAAGAGAAAAGTCACCCCTCTGGCCTTATATGGTTTAGTACTGCTTCCAATATGGAATAAATTGGAAGCTGTAACTATTTGAAAAGGGGTTTCATAAAATAATTACCTAAGAAAATATTTGTTTCTTTTAACAAATTAGCCATGGGTCAGGCTTTTTAAAGTACCTTAAACACCAAATTAAGTGGTCAGGGAGCAGAGTGTGGCGACGCAGTGGGGTACTTTTCATTTCCACGGACACTTCTCCTCCACAATTATTACTTCAAAGAATAGGCCTACTGCCCATGGTTCTCCAAATGCTTATGTGACAGCCAGTATTCAGATTTTTTCTTATTTAAGATAAAATGCACACAAAAGCTGCTGTGAAGAAAGACCCGAGTGGAGAAACTAAAGCTGATTATTGAAAAACACAGACACAGTAATGTAGCGTCTGAAGAATATCTCAGCAAATACAGTATACCTGAACAGATTTACCTGTTGGATACTAATTACCTTTTAAGGTGGGGTATAAGAACAGTGTGGTTGAAAATGAATTGTCTTTTTCATAAAGACAGATACTGTATCTTTATTTTTATGGTTACAATTAAAGCCTTCCCAGAGCAAATAGGTGGTGGCACAGCGCTGGGAGGTGCTGGACCCAGTTCTTGCAGGTTCACATTAAGCTCTGGGCTTTTACTTCTAGTAATTACATTTCAGAACACCTTGATTGTCTATTTCACTCCATTCACTTTGAGATGAAGGCTCTAAGACTCTTCTTCTTTTCCTTTCGCACGGTAAAAAAACCCAGGATTTTAAAGGTGCCCTTCTCTGTTGCCCTTGAGAAATCTCAAGTAGTTCAAACATTTTAAGATTCGAGAAGAAACAATAGTATGGTTTTAGGGTGTAGGCAGGGAACAGAAATTGCTAGTGTCAGACTTGTTCATACACGTTTTTTGCCACTGAAAAGCAGCTTTTATATCATGACAGGCTCTCCATGTACCCTTAACCTCACACAAGCAACCAGCACTATAGCCCTCTAGCAATGGAATCACAACATACAGTCGAGGGAAACAAATGTTGAATCATTCTAACATCAACGTCAAGGTATCCTTGACCTACTTAACATGAATGTACTTATATTATACTATTATCAAGCAGAATCTTCCATATATTGTGATGTTTTTCAACTGAAAGCCAGCAATGTCATTAGATTAGGAAAACAGTAAAACTACAAATTCTTTGTGGTACCAGAGAAATAATCAGTACTTATAAGTACTGGTAATTCAATGCAACATAGGATTTTTTTTATTGACATATACTTGGTCTGGCATGTTGCAAACTTTGCCCTTTTTTACATCTTGTCAGAGAATGCTGGCCTGGTTTCTAATTCGGTCTCATCTTCATTTTAAAAGTCTTCTGGAAAGCCAAGAGAGCCCGCAGCTGAGCTACATGTGAATCGTTTTACTGACAAATCCTTTCACCCCAACAGAGTTGACTAAATTATTTTGGAAGACATGCAAGCCAATTTAAACATGAATTTCAAGGGGGGGGGGGGGGGATCTCCATTTTTGTTTTACATTATTACTTGTGAATTACACCTTCGCCAGTTCTGGTAGGTTGCTATGGTGACATCCTTAGAGGACACCAGTAGGACAAAAGGAAATAAAGCTGCAGCTTCAAAGAAGATCACTGTGAATGCCAGAGGGCAAATTTGTGTTGATGCAAAACGATATCAAAGCAGGTCAGAGTAGAGCATGCTGATAAAAGTGATAGACACAGATTTATATTACTTCCTGACCCGTCTCACCGGACTTAAAATGGTCATTTGTGTTGAAAATAATACAATCAATAAATATGTAACCCAGCTCATTGCATTGACATAAAATAAACCCTTTACTGTCAAGGGAAGTAAATTTTTTACTTTGGTATTTAACTTTATGTGCTTTCATACACTATATCCAACTAAAGGTTAGTAGGTCAGAAATGATACACACAGGGATGTAACTACATTTATTTTATTCACTAAAATGTTTTATTCTCTTCATACTCCTTCCTTAATATAACATAACATCTATTGTAAGAGCCCCAGCTGCCAGGTATATGCCCATGTCTTTTAAACTCGATGCCCCTAGGTTATAACACTTCTAGGTATCTTTAAAAGAAAGAACGAAATGTGTCCTACAAGAATAAAAGTACTAACTAACTCTAATATAATTATCAGGAGTTGTTTTGTCAGACTTTTAGGAATGAATTCCAGGATTTGAGACATAATCTCATGTTAAATAAAGATTAGCCATATGTGTCATGATTTCGCTACAGTTCATGAGTCAAATGTGTGCTTCTCTACTTCAAAATTACAGGTGATGACCCAATAAAAACCTGCACATTTTTCAGCGCCGAAATCCCAGATGCTATCTGTCTCACATCATTATGTCCACACTGATATTGATTAAAGTATCTATCTCACCACATGACCCTCCTGGGCTTTTGTAGGATTATATACTGGAAAATTGACATAATTTTGCTTTTAGACACACTGCAAGGACACAGCTCATGTGTATGTTTCAAGACTGTCAAGGAAAATGTGTAAAATAACCTGTTTTTAACCCATTACGTATTATCGTCTCAGCAGTTGTATGACTGTAAATGATATTGCACTTAAAGAGTATTCACAAAAGGGAGCTAAAGTGATATTCTTGTATTGACTGTAATAAAACACAAGAGAGTATAAGACCCTTAATTCTGTATCCATATCATTAGGATCAAAGGCTCTTGGCCCCAGGGCTCCTTTGATATGTATTACACCATGGCATACACATACTGTATATATAGCTTGATTAAAATAATAAGCCAAATCAATTTCAGAACCTAATGTTACTCAGTGGGCTGCTGGGCTTGTGGATGTATACAAGGATTTGTTTTTAGGGAATATGCTTTAAAGAAAAGAAAGAATAAAAGAGATGAAAGGCTTTGATGGCAGTGAGTCAGCAGAGCACACACAGATCACAGATATGCGGACATGAGTATGACCCAAAGAGTCAAACATGGAGGATGGGATAGCTGTAGAAGGAGGTCAGAGGTGAACAACACTTCACAGATGCAGTCTCAGCCTTACTTCAAACATACAGAACAAGGAGGGGGCGGCAGAAGGGACAAACTTTAAACTATTTACAGCATTTCACTAACCCATTTAATTCAATTATAAAAATGCATTAAAAAGATATTAGGGGTAGACGCAGTTTAATGAAGCATGTTTACTTGGGGATATTGTTTGTAATGGACTGTTTCTGGACTGAGCTCTGCAGCCGAGATGGGAAATGTGGAGGAGGTGAGTGCGGAGGGGAACCAACTAGAGGAACAGGTGATTGGCAAATGTCTTCAGGAAGTATGTTGTTTTTCTTTCGTGGCCTTATTCTCTATAACCTCTGATTTGATAGAAGAAATTCTTCAAGTGCTACAGTCTAGACTTTCTTCTTTTGAAATGTAATCCTTCTCTTTAACCTTCACGTGCAACAATTCACCCAAGGCTTTCCAACCTGAAAACATGTTAAATTGTGATCTGAGGTTCTCTTGTGAAACCATCTGCTAGCAACCAGGGGCAGATACTTTATACGATGGGGACTACCTTTCCAAATCCAACTAAATAGGTTTACTTCTATATACCTAGGACCTGAAATTGCAAACTCTTATCATTGCATGAGGATTCTCAGATGACTGAGTGTCTGAGTGCCAACATATATGAAATACATTTGACCAAGTAGAGCTACTTTTATGGAATTTCTGTGACTCCCCGTGTTTCCTCATTTCACTGAAACCTACAGAGACCACACACTATTCCGATTTCACATGTCTTATGTGAAAGATCAAATCTAAGCCAGATGATTCAAAGGAGACACATATGGTAAGTTATATATCGTGCCAGTGTGACTTGCTACAGTGTGAATTCAGCATCTTGAGAAATCATTGCCTTCCAAACTTGAATCAATAATCCTAACTTTTTTTTTTTATTGTTCAAAATGAAAAATAAAAACAAACAGTTGGTCAGAGATTAGACAGTTCACACAATAAATCAGAGTTGAATGATATTTCTGATATATTGCATTAACAGACACCAACTTCAGTTTGTTATAGAGCTAATCTTTAAACATCAAAAGTAATGCGCCACCACTCTTTTGATTAAACACAAACATAAGGATAAGGATACAGTTTATGAGATATGGCTTGCACACATAGATCTTATAATTACGACACAGCAGAGAGCGATTCAATCAAAGATAAAGGCACTATGATTAAAACACATTTAGGCATTATATTTTTCCGAGGTGTGAAATCTGTGTGCGCCTGCCATGAGACAGAGCATTTTAGCAAGGAATTTACAAATGGATCCAGCTCTGATGCCACTGGGAACAACTGGCGCTTTCAAGCAGAAAATCTCAGACAAATCACAATTTACCAACTAATGAAACCACTCAAGATTATCCCCTATCCGCCTGTGCCCACTGTCTTCAGAGCTGCAAGAGCACTACTTACAAAAGCACTGCCTGCACTCAGGGGAGCAGATTTGGCTTTAGTCACAATTTCACTGCTCAGGCTATATTCCTAAATAAGACAATAGAGAAAAAATATTGTCTGGCACTGGCTGTCACTGAGCCTGAAACAATACTCATTCAAAAGATGCTCTAAAAATACTGGCATGAGAACACATCTGTATGTTTTTTGGCGAAAACAAAGGAAACTGGGTACTTACCCTCTGTGGAGTGCACTTGGGCTAGCGTAATGAGGAACCAGCAGAGGGTTTGTAGTTTCCACAGGGAGCATGCCATGGCGCCTGGTGTCGGTGGTTTCTGGCAGGTTTGTGTCGTGACTTAAAGTTTCTTGTTAAAAAAGTCCAAGCCGGCTGGTTTCAGAGATACTCATCATTGATCCTCTCACCTGTGGAGCAGAGCGAGAGAGATGTTCAGCTCAGGACCGAAAGTGATTCCATGTGCCAGCGCTGACCCTGCCGGTGTGATTTAGCCTGTCACACTCTTATCACACACACCACTTGATGCTGCATTTACATTCCACTGCAGAAATGTGACAAACCTTAAGCTGTGAAATGCTACAAACCCACGCAAGCTCCTGAAAAAAAAAAAGCCCAGAAGGTCAACAATCTTAAGGAGGAAAATCCCTTAATGGTGGCTGAATGCTAACTGGTAGAGAGGGGAGTAGTGGGGTGGGACCAGTGCTGTCATCCAGCAGATAGGGCCCACCCTGTCCATCTCTTTGTGACCTACAAAGCAAGTGGTGCTAACCTGATCAGTTCTATGAGGGATTACTTGACATGAAAAGTGTAGAACCCTATAGAAGAAAGGGTTTGTTGACACACAGTTACAGTAAATGTTAAAATGACCCATGGTGATAACTTGGTGAACATTAGCAAAAAAGCTTTCATCTTCATTTGGAATTAGTATGGATTTGCTTTGTTGGTGTCTAATCAATGGAAAAATTCATGGAAGCATAGCAAACAAATGTCATATAAGTCCAAATAATAGAATATAATGATAAACAATAACATAAGAAAGTATGGTGTAGATGTGCTCGTTTTGTAAAGAGTTGTCTTGAGATAACATGACGAATGTTAGAGTGACTGATAATGATATTATTATAACATTATATTAAGAAAGTCTAAATGGCCATTTCAAAATATAGAATTACTTCTAAAATAAATACTGATAATGGTTGTATCTGACAACACAAGCCTGTCACATTGACATTTAAAAAGGCTACATTACAGTGTTCTCTAACGCTGGCATTTCACTACTTCTTCTAAGCAGAGGTTAAAAAGCAACAGCACTTCTGTTGACTGATAATTTTGTGTCTCTTTCCACCCCCGCGCCCCGGCCAAACAAACAAATAAAGCAAATGGTCGCCTCTCTTTGTTGTGACTGACCACAAACCACCATATCTCTCTCTCATCACCCCCTCCCTCTCCACACCAGATTCCTCTCTTCCCCTCATCCATACCTGTACTTGTAGTACAAGTCTATTTGAATGTTTGTTTTTGCTCTCTTTCGCTACAAAAGCAAATGGCCTCCTCCCTGTCATGGATACAGTTCTGGAGCTGTGTGGGGTGAAACCTAATGCCTCTATACCTGCGCGCCCAGGCATGCGTTTCACACTACTAACTGCTCCCTTTTGTCTGTGTGTTTACACTGCCGGGGTAAGCTCAGTCCTCTCGCTCCCATGAACCATTAGCACATTCACCATGGGATATGGCATCACTCTGGCAACAAGGCACACAGGACCCCATTAGAAACTGTTTTGTTTTTTTCTTCTTTTTAACACATTCAAAAACAACACTCCATTTTTTATGTCTACTGCCTGCGATTGTTTGCTAAGATTCAAGGTACTGAATGTTCTCCAACATGCGAGCAACTGACAAGAGAAGTGTAATGAAATGACAGTGAGGAATTCTGTTTGTCATGTAGCGTCAGAGCTGCAGCTTCGGCAGCCTCGGCTGACTCCTCCACACTGGAAAATATCCGCGGCCGGAGGAGTCTTTGATCTATTTCGTCTGAGTTCTCAGACAGTGTAATAATTCATCGCTGAGAAAACATGCAGAGCGCACACATTAGCCAACAAAGTTATAATTAAGCCTGCCATAATCAGCTCATCTAGGATGACATTACGCCTCACCTGAGACCTCTAATTTCAGAGCCATTTAAAGGAGGTTAACAGGAGCAGAGCGCACACAGCCACAGTGTATTTAGTTTCAATGGAATAATATGCAGTCATGAGACCCGACAAATGAAAGTTGATCACTGAGACCAAACCAATTGGATTCCAACAAAACTGTAATCCTTGTCTTTTAGCAGATCAGTGCATTTGGCACCACTTAAATTTATCAGGCAAGTGTCTACCAATAATCAGCCTACACTGCAGGTCTATACCGAATAAAGAGGCCTTAAGAAGATTGTCTCCACAACAAAGCTTTAAAGTCAGCATGCAGGCTTTACGGATCTTCATCTGTGCGCACAAAGACTTAGCTTGTCCACTTAGTGAGACAAACTTATTTGGATCACACACACATTTACACGTGAATGATGATAATCCCATTCAATCAGTATATTGTCACTCACAAAATAATTTACTGAGAAAAATCAGATTAAGAGTTGACATAGTTCTCAGTACAACATTCTCCAGTAAAAAATACAGTGAGGTTGCACCAGTTTAGCAGTTAGATTTATGTAAAGGTCAACAGCAGTACAATAGGAAATAGTTGTACATAATGAAACTGGAGAGCGATATTTAATAATAACAGTTTGGAGCATCTGATTCTACAAGTTCAAACAGGTTCTATTGCTCCAGGTGTCCGCTGTAGCGGTACATTCATTTCACTGTCACTCAAAAAAAATGAGTTTTATTTTCCCACCATCCCTAGCCTTGTCACTCCTTTATCAAATATATTCCCACTTTGCATTTGGTTTGCTCTGTGACCTCTGTGGGGCGTGCACAGAATGAAAAACACGGACACACTATGTGGACGTATGCGTGCCAAGTGCAATTTCAAAGAATGACGCTATGCCAGCTCGGCTTACGACCTTGAAGCAAGTAAGATAACCTGGTTAAGGTCTTTACAAGGTAGTTGCAATAACTGACGTATTGCCTTGCTGTGGTTGTAATCGCATTAGTAGTGAGCACGTTAGCACATGGATTTTCTTATCACAGTTGAGCAGTTAATGCAGTGGATAAAGTGCTGCACTGAAAACGTGTATAAATCTATTGATAACACGAACAATTACATTGCCTACTTATGCCCAAATGTTATAACTCACTAAACAATTGCATTCCTCAATTTTGCTTTCTAGATATACCTAAATGCAACATAATAAACTCTGGAAAGCATGTATTTCAGAATAGTGGTATCTCTAAGGTGGTTTTAGGTGCTTGTGTTTATACGTACATTAAACACAATATCTAAAGTCTTCACCTGAGAAAACACTGTTCAATCAATATGACTACTTTTGCTCTCCTGTCTTCATTGCTTAAAAAAGAGGCTCCATGCTCAACAGACCTCCTGTGTCAGGATGTGGAGACAAAGACAAAACACATTTAAACACTTTTGCCTCGGAGGCAGTAGAGACCCCCAACCAGGAAGAAAAAAACAATGTAGATCCCTGGTACACAGGAATGGGTGTTGTGTAAATCGATGATAACAGTGCTATACTTTAATATATTTTGTATCACGCTGTGAGTGTTTAACATGCTGAGGCACCAAAGGTACAGACCGGAGGAAGACTGCCGCTCTCCTCATTAAACGTTCCGAGGTCTCGCCTCTCAGCTGGGGGTTTCTTTTCTCTCTCCGCCTTCAAACCCTCAGTGATCATACCTTGGCTTTTTTTTCTTTAATAGCCCTCGACTCGGGTGTGATCACAGAGTGGGTGTTAGCCTCTGCAACCATGCTTTGTTGTTCCAGGGGTTTGGAGTTTATATGTGAGACTGACAGATGATGAAGAGCATTATGATCAACATGGCTGCCTCGAATGCACGAGACACACGATCGAGGCAATTTTCTGTGATTGTTAAGCACAGATTGCGAACATGTCAACAGGCGTCACACTGTTTTGGCTAAATATGAAGTCATTGCAGACAGATGTTTAAGTACTCTGAGAAATGGAGGAGCCACAGGGGCGTGGGCCCAGAGGCTTTAAACATATGTGTGCTTGATTTATCCGCAATACAACACAACGCTTTATAATCGACAACTGGGTGACAAAATTGTGAATTGCAGGAGCTCAGTTGTCCTTAAGGGAAAAAATAAAAGGCTTAGTTACTTGGAGGGAGGGGGCTATTAGAAAGGAGGGGAGGAGGGATGATTGAAAAGGACAGTTTGAAATTTGAATGCGGCGGGGGTCTGAAAACAAGAGGCAGATGTGAGAGAAAAAGACAAAGCTCCTGGTTGTCCCTCTCTGGCTGTTAGAGGGCCACAGGAGAATAGAAGAAGAGTTGGGGCATTCTGGGAGAATGGAAGTGGGGGGGCAGTGAAAAGGGATTGGGTGGGGGAGGGGGGCTCCAGTTACAATAAAAGATTGACAGCTTGCAAGTCTTGCTTGACCCTTGAATTAGCCCCTTTGCTTTCAACAAACCCCAAGAAAGAGTAGGGATGTTAATTGTCATGGAACATCACAGGGATGCAAAGGAAGGGAAATATGGGGCTGGAGATCCACTGAAATGTAAATCAGAGCCAAAAGACCACCACATGTTGAATGGTGGGGGAACACAGTTGGTTTCTATCTGGTTTTCCCAACAGCATCCTCATACATGTATTCATAAATACTATAAGACTCCTCTTATCTCTGTTTCTCTTTCCCACTTTGAGGGGGAAAAAGTGAAATACCTGGGGACACGTGGCTCAGTCACAGAACCCTCAGCATCAGCTGTGCCAGAAATCTATTCCCCAAAGAGATTGTGTTCCTGCTTTGACACCGCTGAAGATGTACAATTTGCAAGCATGAATCAGAAAATTCGCACTTCAGAGGGGCGGGAGGGGATTGGGCTGGCGATCGGATGAGTCTGGAGCCCCCACTGAGTCGGATATGGGGCAGGGAGGAATCAGAGGCTGACCCTGCTGCGGCAAAGGGATTGATCGAGAACAGCACCAGGACCAGTGGAACCAACCAAACACTGTTACTGCTCTCGGCCCAAGCGCAGGCCTCGACACGAACAGGGGCTCAGTCAGGGAAATACCAGGTCAAACACGCATGCTGGAACACGAGAGCTCAGATACTTTAGAAAGAAATTGAGGAGGGGGGATGTTAGAGAAACAAAGGGGGGAGAAGAGGGAAACAAAGCAGAGCCTTTTCCAGTTGAGAGGGTTTTCTGTAAAAGCTGTTATATAACATATTATCAGAACATTACAACCCAAATATGAAAACTTCAATAGTTCCAAC